TGTGTGAGGAAGGGCGTGGTTGTGGGGTGTTCAGGGGAAGGCTTGTGGGTGTGGTGGGGTGTGTATGGGATACCCCCTGTGTGCCCCCAGTGAGCCAGTTAGTGCCTGACCCCCCCTACAACAGCCCAGAGCCCATGCACCCTGAGGAACCTCCCCGCCACCACCAACAGCACGCAGCTCCTGCCCTACCCCATGCTTGCTCCGGATTCACCCTCCACCAGAGTGAATTAGCCAGAACCTGAGCGCAGTCCCGCCCCTGCCCGGCCCACACCACCTGCCCATTGTGCATCCTACCACTCCCTGGGCATGCAGTCAGCTGGGGTGGCTCCGCAGCTGGACTGCCTTTCTAGGCGGCCCAGGCAGCACTAGCTCCTTCTGGTTGCCACCACTGCTGGACCCAGCCCCGCGGTACTAGCAGACCCACACTGCATGGTCCTGACCCCAAGCCTGTTCCAGACTCACCTGCCCAGGCTCAGCAGCGGCAGCACAGGACAGAAGATACTGCTCAATGAGGAGGAAAAGTAGCCTTTCCCCCTCGCTGCTGCTGGAGGTTCCTGCTGCAGCTACCTGGAGCCCATGCTGGGCTGCACTGCATCCCGTCGCCACCACCTCTGGGCTGCCTCACGGGGCAGTGGTGGCAGCACAGAGCAGATGTAGGGCAGCCTGGTGCAGGTTCTGGGTGGCTGTGCCAGGAAGTGCTGGCAGTGGCGAGGGGGAGGGGCCGCTTCCCCCCATGCTGAGCAACAGGTTCTCTCCCAGGCCACCATTGCTGAGCCTGGGCAGGCGAGCCTGAAGCAGGCGTGAGGGGCATGCCAGGTTGGAGCTGTGCAGCACAGATCCCCACCAGTATTGCGGGGCTGAAGTCAGCGATGATGGCAGCCGGAAGGAGCTGCCACCACCTGGGCTGCCTAGAAAGGCAGTCCAGCTGCAGAGATGCTCCAGCCTTACTGCATGCCTAGGGGGCAGCAGGATGTGTTACAGCCAGATAAGGACCTACTGAGGGCTGGATCCGGCTCGCAGGCCATATTTTGCCCACCCCTAGGCTAGTCTCAAAAAGGTCAAGTATAAAACTGCCTTCACATGCTTGATTTCAACCACCTGCTTTCCTAGATTCCGGAACATGTAGGTGGTTTGACTAGAGGCTGTCAGATAGGAAGAGAGACTTCTGAGCTTGGAGTATTGCTCAGGCGTTGCACTTTAAGAGCGTGGTTCTACCTTAGGGAGAAGTTACTGAGCCACACAGACTTTAATTAAGAATGGAAGGGATTCTCAACCTTCTAGTTAGAGGTATAGTGAAAGAAACTGAAAACCGGAGATGAGAATGGATTGGGGCTGAGTTCTGGAGAGAATGGAGTGAACTGGTGCAAGAGGCTGTTAGTGAATTTGGGATGGGCATGTAAATTTGGAATGTGTGTTAGAGCAGTCCAGGAGTGAATTAATGGTAAAGCTGAAAAGCTAAAATGGAGGGGTACAGGTTGCAACCGGGAGAAAACAGAAGATAAATATCATTAAAAGGAAGAACAGAGATAAGTATCATTTTCTCCTTCATTCCCATTTACTTAAAAACATGTGCCAGTTGGTCATTCTGTTAAAAAGAGGCATAAATAACTACTTTTTCTTCCCACTTGGCTATCAACAACCTTCTATCCCTGCAAGACTATGACCAAATACCTGCATATTTCACTTTGCAACACTGAGTTATATTATAACATGCAACCCGACTAATTGTTTGGAGCGTAAGCCACTGCCAGAATACAGGGTTACAATTAGTTAAGAAAAACAGGCTGAATCCCCCCCAAAATGTTGAAATTCAGATATTCAATCACAGAATTATAGAAGTAGGGTTGGAAGCGACCTTGTCCCTTCAAGTCCAACCCCCCACCTGAGCACGAGAAAAACTGGGCTCAGATGACTCCAGCCAGGTAGGCATTAAGCTTCTTCTTAAAGACCCCCAAGGTATGAGCCAACACCACTTCCCTTGGAAGTTGGTTCCAGATCCTAGCTGCCCTAACTGTGAAGTAATTCTTATGGATGTCTAATCTAAATCTACTCTCCAACAACTTGTGGCCGTTATTCCTTGTTATGCCAGGGGGCGCTATGGGAAACAAGGTCTCTCCCAAACCCTTCTGGTCCCCCCTAGTGAGTTTATAGGCAGTCACCAGTTCCCCCCTCAGCCTTCTCTTGTGAATACTGTGGAATATTCTGCCATAGGAAGTTGAAAGCTTCACTGTTTGAAATTTTTAAACCTCAAGTCAACAAAATACTAGAAGACATACTAAAGAGAACAGCTTGGTTTTGGCAGATAGAGGAAAGGGATACTCTACTAAGAGAGGTCTTTTTCCATCTTGTCTCTAATGCTATTAAAGCTGCAAATGCTTTGTATTCCCTCACAATTTATTTCTTTGTCATATGACAGTTTTAAAAAAATGCAACCTTCATTTAAGTGCACTGGTGGCCCGAGATAAATTTGGTGGCAGAGTGACCTCTCTCGCAATGCTCTCACTATTTCAATGTCTCACTATCTCACTTTTCAAATATTGTGTAATAAAATAAAGAAGCTATGCAGTGGGTGCATCTGTACGTGTGCTTTACTGTGGAGCAGACTAGCTCTGCAGTAAAGCATAACAGTCCACACATCTGCCGGTATTAGGGCACAGTAAACTAATTAACTCTGACATAAGATGGTACTGTCAGGGACATGACTATCTTACAGTGCAGTCATTAAGTGTACTTAAACGCATGTGTAGGTAGTGACTGCTGGGTGCAAATTGCACCCAGTTAGCCCAGCCAGCTGAGGACCAGGCTCCCAGCTCTTGCCAGCCCCTTTGTCACCCCCTGGAGTTCAGGGCTGATACCCCCAATCCCACCTGCCAGCCCAAGGCTGTTCTGCCCCAGCTCTTTTTCATGCCCCATCTATATGTTCAACCACTTGAGGGAACTCAGTTACAACACAAGTGTACACTAAATAGACGAGGGCTGATTTGTAGGACAGATTAGATTTTAACCATGTTTCATAACTGTTCTAGTTACAAAACATAGCTGATGTCCTTTCTACTGTACAAATTGAAACCATGTTTTTAACTGGGTTAGAGGAAAACTTTGATGTAAACAAGCTACCTGACATTCATAGTATAGACAGAGCCTCAGTTATATTTTGTGCCCGAGTTAGTGTTTGGAGATAGCTTTCAGGATATTGCAGTGTCCTTTACTCCTGAATTTTTAATGGGCCAAATAATTTCTATTGTTCAGTTGAAAGAAAAAAGGGACAGTGGGAATCAGAGCATGTCATTCACAGAGGGGTGTGTGAAGAAAACAGAATGAGGAAGGGGCAAATGATCAGAAGTACACCACCAGGGACATGTGACCCACAGGCCCAACAACCTGCATCATACATGTGTCACCAAATATTGAGCAGTCTTACTGACCAACACTGCTGCCCCGGCCAAAACATATAATTCAGAAGCAGATATGGAATGCTGACCTTTTATATTTTCAGGTTCAAGTAAGATCCAATAACTCAAATGTATTTTGGTAATGTGCATGTCTACTTGAATTTGGAAGTTCATTCCAAATGCAAAGCATCCCTAAATATCAACAATAAAGTAGTAGTGCCAGTGGTGTAGGGGTTACTTTAAAAATATGGTCATCTTAGTTGTGATTTAACAGGGAGGCTATGTGTAGGGGGGAAGGAGGGTTGGAGGCTAAAATAGAAGAAAATATTAGGACAGATGTATGTTAGCAGGGGTAGAGAAGGAGGGAAGCTCCCCACTGCTGCATGTAATTGTGGGGACACATGGGGGGCATGTGGCCCCAGATTTGTGTGGGGTGAGGGCAGACTGCCCGCTGAAGGCTTGGGTGCTGTGCTGGCCTCTTCCCAGCAGGGGGGTGGGGCAGGGGCAAGTGACAGTGGTGCTGGGAGAGGGGTTGTGGCCAATTTTGGGGTGGCCATAGCCCACCCCATAGCCTCTCCCTTCGAGCACCGCCACTGCCTGCCCTGCCCTGCCCTGAGCACAGCTCCAGGACAGCCCCCATGCTGGGAAGAGGCTGGCACAGCCCCTGGCCCTGAGCCTACAGCAGGCAGCCCTCCCTTGCCCTGAGCACAAATCTGGGGGGGGGGGGGGGGGGGGGGGAAAATATCCCCCATGCCTCCCCCAGGGGTGCGCACAGTGGCAGTGAGATGCCACCCCTCCCCAGATGAGCTGCTTGTGGTTCCGTCTCACACCCTACCCCACCCTAGCTGGGCAGTGCCTCTCCCTTTCCTTGCCCCAGCCCCAGCTCCACTCCCTCCCTCACTGTGGGGGCCTTGATCTGCCCCCACCTCATGCCCCTTCCCTCCCCCACACCCCACAGACTTACCAGACAGACACTGCTCTCCTAGTTGGCTGGCTGCATTCCTGTCCGCATGCATGCTGTGGCTGTATGCATGCATGCAACATTTATCGGTGACATTAATTGGCTACACCAACCAAAAAAGCTGATTGCCAATGATGGCAATTTTCCTTTTATTGGTGCCGATCTGATATGGTGCATGATATGCCAATATATCGTGCACCTCTTAGAACTAAAAGCAGGATTTAAATCCAGGTTAAGCAAAATACAAAACACTTTAATTCTGGATGTTATTCAGGAACACCTATTCCTGTGCAACTCCAAGAACAGACCAGTCTTCCAGACTACGAGTCTAGATTTTGAGTGACATATGGCAGCTCAAGTAGGCCACTGTTTTTTGAATGCTATCATTCTCTCTCCAGAACCCAGGCCTACAGTTAAAAAAATAATCCAAATCTAGCCATTATGGTTGAAAAGAACATACGAATTTGGAGAAACCACCAGATGCTGTCAGATTTTTTTTTAAGAAAGAAGGTTCAAATTTAGATATACAGAAGTATGCATATATAAAAAACTGAAAGCAAATGGAACATTTTAAATGAATCATCATTTCTCCACCCAACAAAAATATAGATGGAGAGGATTTAAGGGAAAGGAAACAAAGCCCCCACGAACAAAGTGCAACTAAATCAAAATATGAAGGACAAAATAGCAAAATGCATGCTGTGTCTCTGTACAGTTATTAGACCACTAGAGGATAAAGGACTCCTCAGAAATGCACGTGCAGAAGTCCACGTTTACCTTTTCAGTATCTTCAGGATTGTTGTTCTGTCCATTCCCATACAGTTTGGCATAGAGTCTCCAGACTTCCCCATCATTTGTCACTCTTGAAGTCACTCTGCCAAATAGCTCCTGCAACTTTCCCTTCAATCCTGCTGCGCCCTCTCCACTGCGATCGGCCATTCCATCTACCACAGCCCTGACCAGGATGTGCAATACCTTCGAAAATAGTCAGAGGAAATTTTATTTCCATATTCAAGTTAAAAACAACATGTACACAGTCTCTGTAGCATCTGGACTCTGAGGTACATTATCTAATAATTCTATATCTTTTGAGAATACAAAAGACAGTTGCATGATCTAGCCTTACAAGCATGCAATGATATGGGGTACTAAGTGTGTTATAAAGGAAGTTCACTCATTTAAACCTTACACAGACCCCCTGCAAAGGGACTCTATGGGAGAAGAAGGTGAGCACAAGGTCACTCATTCCAACCTTAGTGAGCTATAGAAGAAAGTTTGTGCTTGCCTAGATAGGCTGGTACAAGTAATCCAGGAAACAACAGCAGTGTATGACAGAGAATTTCACACTATTATAAAGAGAGCGGGAAGAACTGTCTATTATTAAGGTTGGCCAAGATTTCCTATTAGAAGACCCTCTTTTCAGTGGTTTAGAACGTTACCAAATTTTAACAGCCTGGACTGAAATTTTCAATGCAAAGTATGCACTGAATTCTTTTGGAAAGCTCTGGCATCCCAATGCTTTGAAGCAGGGACTTAACATTTAGCAGGGAGCGGCCTTTGTGTCAGACATGTGCTTCCCTTGCCCCCCCTGTGAAAATCCATCCAAATGTAGCCATGTTATAAGGTTTTTAAAAACTCCTGCAGTTTGCACAAACTCAGTGGAGATTTGTTAGAGCTTCACAACTAAAATCCCCAGATTTCTTCTGCACTGAGCATGTTCCAAACTCAGATCTGCACTGGACTTTCTTTGTAAGGCAGTTCTGGACACCTAATTAATAGACTGTATCATAATGTACCTAAAGAAAAGGGACAGAGTTAAGGACATGTAAACTTCATTAATTTTTGGTATTTCTGGATTTGTGAATGCTTGACTTTACAACCCTAATAATGGTCTTTAACATTTTTACAGAAATAATCATCATAGGCAATACTTAACAGTAAGATTCTGTGTATGAAAATAAATCCATATAATAGAAAACATAAGCTAACTTCTGTATAAGAATTACTCATAACAAACCCAGAAACATAGACGGACATATACTATTATCGTACTAAAACAAAAAAGTTTAGATCCCTTAAAATAGAGATGTCTACAAGAGACTTAAATCAGTGTAGGTTATTTTACATTCTGAACTAGTCATGGTAATTGTTGTATAATATTGATTGCTGTAAATATACTCTAATAACAAATTTACTTTAAGCCAGCACATAAATACAATGATACAATGACATGTTTCTAGTACAAATACTTTTTTTCAGTGTTGCAATATAATTACATTATTAGTCAGAATTGATAACAATCAAATGATTCTCCGCACGGATTTAAAATTCCTTGCTAATAATGTAGTAAATTTAAAATGGGTGTTAATATTACAAAACAAGTATAATCAATTACTATAAAAAGCAGGTTCTATCAGAAAAAGGTTGGTGTTTCTTCTTTTATGCCTTAGTGATTGGTCAAGTTTGCTCAGTTTATGACCAAAACTTTTTTTCTAAACCACAAAGGTTTTTTTCTGAAGTCCAAGCTCGTACCACAGGTCAAGAATGGAACTAAGAGAATTCACATTAGCTGGGAATCTGTCTTTGAAGGAGGATAAATGCATCAGATGTACTTGATGCGATTTAGTTTTCAAATAATTTTTTAAAGTGGTGAATCAAACATACAATGTAAACAATTTCTGTTGCCAGACATTTTAACGAATGGATGTCCCAAATGAGAATCTTAAATCCTTATGTAGGTAACTAAATAAGATACCTGATTACCAGAAGTGCTGAGCTCCAATCTGCTCCCAGGACCACACACACACACGCACATGTGCACATATCTACATACATATACTCAGAAAAGTATGGTCAAACTGGAAAATGTCCAAATTCTCACTCCTTGTTTCCAGCCTTGTAAAACTGTCATTGAGAATATTCCAACCCAGGTAGTTTACCAGTCCACAAAAATCTAGGCATGATAACTATGACAATAATGGAAAAAAACTAAAAATATTTTATTTGTCCATTGGGAAAAAGTAGCTACTTGCCTCAGGCATCCAGGATTTTGCAAAGATGTCAAAAAATAACCCAAATATCAAGAGAGCTCAAGCTTTGCTTATGTTTCCAGCATAATCTATCCCCATGTTTGCCTTCTTCATCACTGAAGACTTAGTCAAAATAAAACATGAAAGCTGGGGCTATAGAATCCATTAAATATTAATGAAATACTGACACTCTTTGGTCATGCTGTATTGTTAAAAATATATTAGTTAGAATTGCCGGTTCATTGCATCTAAATACCAAAAGAAGGCTGGCAACCAATTCACTAGCTTTTCCATCATTAGACCACAACTGTAAATTGTTAAACTTTCATTTAAATCTCCTCTGAGGGAAGTTAAATGGCCATATGCCCTAAAACACTACTACATTCAACAGATGTTAGATTATACAGGAACCTGTGAAAACAACAGCTTTTATTTTCCTGTCTTTTAAAACAATCTATGGATTATACTAAGCATTTGTGTGTTTAATACCACCATACCTATATCCCTCTTTCTGTGACCCATCTTATTTAACAAGTACAACATGCATAATGAAAAAAGAAAAACAACCATACACATTTTGACACATTTTGTAATTATGAAATGAGATTCATGTGCTCTACAACAGTTCCTTTCACATAAAAAATTAACTACTCAAAACATTAAAAAAGTCCACTGGTAATAATCAGAAATGACAAAGCCCCAGGGAGGAAAGGACCTTCAGATAACAGGTTTCACATGAGAAGTTATCATTTGCTAAGGCTGTTTCCTATAAATATATTCACTGCAAATACTTTCCCATTAAAGCTGAAAATCAGCTAAGTGACTATTATAGCACCAGGTGCCTCTGACAAGTATTAATTCCCACCTTCCCAATCTCAAATTCCCTTTGGAAAGTTCCCTTATAAATATGAGCACAACCAGCTTTTGCTACTGCTTCCCATTATGAAAGGATATAGAAGTATGAGCCAGAGAAATAAGGATAGTATGTAAAGCATAAGAGCAAAAGAAAACTTTTCTGTTACATTGTTTCTGTTGTGGTATTCTGCCTTCACATTAATCCCTACTTTGTATTCACATTCATAGAGACCAGTACCTAGGCTTGCTTGTGAAAGTAATGTAGCAAATTTCTAGCTCCTTCCCCCCAACAGAGCATTTGCTGCCTATTATCCTCAACATGTTAACTTTACAAATAAGCACTGACTGCTTGGCTCTAGCAAGCTGCATTTTGAAAAGTCATTTGATTAGCAGTTTTACAAAACCCTCTGCCAACATTTGCCCCCATACATACAGAGGTTAAACTGACAATTACACCCACTGAGAATCTACCCCCCCAGATCTTTTCCTGTGAACTGTAACTAATTTACAGGTTATATCATCAGTGTGGGAGTCTTAACAACTAGCCCCTTGCTACAGATAATTCAACAAGGTAAGGTTAATTTAAGGTAAATGCCACAGGAAGTAAAGGAAAACATAGAAATAATACTCTTGATGAAATACATTATATAAGGAAGAATTGTAATGTTTTTTAAGGGTCACCACTGGAAAAAAAGTTAAGACTACCACAAATACAAAGTGGAATGTGCTTATTCAAAAATCAGAGTTTTTTAACACTGCTTGATTTACAACGAACATTTATTCTACCTTTATTATCACAGACACCTTAATGCAGTGCTTCTAAAAAGCTGACAGATTCTCTCTGTCGTTTATGTTCTTCCTGTCTACTGTAATATATAGATGCCAAGATTAACAAGCCTAGGAACTGATGACCTTTTACTCATAGAGGAGTTAGTATCTGGGTAGCTGTGATAAGAGTCCACATTCTGTCTCACCAATTTGCTCCAATCATTATTTTCCAATTAACATACTAAAATCTGGCTATATCAATTGAAATATGGCCATATCACAAAGCTTAGAGGATATGCAGGTATAGAGATGGAGGGCTACTTCTTTTTTTCTTTTAAATACATGAATGGCAGTTTTGTTTACTTTAAAAGAATACATCCTTTTAATAATTATACTGCGAAAGCTCCAAATTGTCATCTTAAATGTTACTCCATGCAAATTTTAAATGTTACCATGGCACTTAGATTAATCCAGAGTTCCCCGTGGTTCAGTGATAGACTCCCTGTCTACTGCACAGGAGACCAGGGTTCTGTTCCCAGATGCTTATACAGCTACAGCCATGGAGGCACCAAATGTCTGGACTCAGCTGGGTCTTTAGATTCTGTCTCAATGGCCTAAAGAGAGATGGAAGGTCTGGGCAGCCATAGGTATTGAAGGTCCGGGTGACCTCTCATGCATACACCATGATCCAGAAGGATCAATGGTATATTAATCCACAAATGTCCACTCCCCCAGATAATTTTCATTTCATACACTGACAAGCTTGTTAATATTTTGCCTCTTGAATTATACCTGCAGCAGGTGTGTGTGTGTGTACTGAATCTTAAAATGTCCTGCATCAGAATTTCTGCTGTTGGAAGGGCTATGAAATAATTATGGAGAACAACTAGGAAGTATAATTTCTCACAACTGCATTTTGTGTGTGCAGGTCTGAAGCAAGAAGCCATGAGCTAATGTACAAAGAGAAAACATATTAGATTCAGTTATAGTCTCATTTTACAGAGTTGAAACTGTGTTTACATAAAAATATGACTGACAACTATACTGCAATAAAACTAAGAATCTGGTCTAAACTTACTGAACCACAGTTTTTCTAAATTGAATAAGCAACTAATAAGTCAGTACAATCAGTTCTGTACCAGAGGACCCTACAACAAGCAAGTAGAAAGAAAGCAGCACACACTAGACTGTGGGTGAGTGCTCTGTAAAATTTTTCCAAGCTTCTTAGTTTTCTCAATTCATTTTTTAACTAAGAAAGTATTCTCTTCCATTCTATAAAATTATTAATATGAATTCTTCTGAAATTCTAAAGAAGAGTTTGGGCTTGTTCCTGATGGATTTTCATGAGAATCCTTCTATCTGTATATTTGCTGTATCAGAAAAAGATGAAAGGACTTGGAAACTATTTCATAAGTTGGACTATATAATGACATCTGTACTGGAACACCAAAAGCAAACTTAACATCTATAGACTCCCAAATACTCCTAAAATTTATACGGGAAATATAATATATATATTAGAGAGAGAGAGAGAGAGAGAGAGAGAGAGAATACACTAAAATGGATAAAGAACACTAAAACAGGATTGTGCAGTTGTGCAACTGGCAGCTCGCAGGTGGCTGAGTTGTTGCCCGTGAGCTTCCATCTGGGCTCTGCTCCCTCATCTCTCCAGTTGAAATAGCAGCCAGTCTCTGGGCTGTTTCCCCAGCTTGCTTGGATTCTGCTTTCTGCACCCACACCTGGGGACAGATGCTGCTAAGCATGGCACAGGGAGTTGAAGGTGAGCTTGGGGCTGTGTGGTGCAGTGGTGGTGGTTGTGCTTATGTGGGCACACTGTGGAGCAGGGGCATAGGGGCACAGGCTGTGGTGCAGCAGAGGGCAGAATGCAGTGTGCCAAGGGGTGGGATGCAGGGATACAGTACAATGAAGGGGTGCCTGTGTGGCAGGTGGCCCCTGGCTGTTTAGAAGCTGAACAGCATTACTCTTAAATAACCAGGCACCACACCTATGAACTTGTAAAATGACACATCAGAATGGGCACATTTGTTCACGTTATAGGAATGCAGGAAATTCTAGCCCTTGTAGACAATCAGCCTGACCTGAGCGATATTAAAATCAGTATGGGTTATGTTGTGTAACTAGACTATTGTTTAAATCAACAATTTAGAAGGGCACTTCCTAAACAAAGTCTACAGTATATCCTCATGAATAAACATGGTCTCTGCAGAATGCCAGCAGCATAGCTGCCAACAAGCTAATTCTCACCACATGGAAAACTACCATTTTCTTTTGAATGTAAGATGTTGATGAATTTAAGGAGCCTCCAAATTTTGTAACTCTCAATTTAAAAAAATACAATAAAATCACCAAACAGACACGTGGGAGGATACAGGCATTATAGTGAATATATGACCTTTTTTAAGAACTTCAAATTTAAGAGTTTTTAAAGAAGAAATACTTGGTTTTAAAAATGTGTAAGTTTTGAAAGAATACAATATACCTTTTGCAGATATTGATCAGTTTTAAAATGCACACAATTGCTAGAAGAACTTTTCAGGTTTAGGTATCTCAAATTTGATTGATTTTATTTGTATCAAGCACCACGCTGACTGTGTGTGGTTGTTTTATTACTCATATTAGTAGCTTTATTATTATAACAGATGACTCATGTACTCTTAAAAAAAGTAAATTGCCAATGAAAAAATTAAATACGCTTTTTAACTATCACAGTACAGTGACCCTTTAATTATATGAGCATCAAATAAAACTTTCCCAGGCTCACAGTATGCATTTAACCCACAGAAACTAACAAGCTTTCATTCATTACCCTAAAAAGTGCATATGGTTCCTGTTTTATTTTTTCACAGTTCTGGATTATGTAGATTTAATACTGTGATTATGTGTGGTTCAGTACATGAAATTTAGTTTAAGTGCAACGGCCAGTTTGTGCAAGATGTACATTCTTAAACAACTAGGGAAAATGTTTTCCTGACTATAGTTATAAGATCTAAAATCATTTACATTAATGCCAACAGGGATTTAAGCATGTGAAAAGGGGGGAAATGTTTACTTTTAGGATCAGCCTGACCAGCAGAGTTTCAACTTATTCTTCTCCAAAGCTTGCAGACAGACACTGGGATCAGGATAGGTCTTGTTTGCTTTACATTATTTCTTCTTACAGTCAAAGTCTCATAATTTGCTCAGACAGCTTTCAGTGTCAAGTTTGCTACTGGTACTGCGATGGTTTTGGAAAATTTATTTCATTGTCATGGAAAAAATGAACATACAGGAAACATGTCAACGGCACAAACAGAACTCTATCCCACCTGCACATCTTTGTATTTTTCTTGTAAATCCATGAGCCGGTGATAGGCCTTGATTGCCTCTGAAAATTCTCCAATGTCTGTACAAGTGAGAAGGTAGTTCTCCCAAATCTGCCAGTGTTCATAGTTACACTTGAGAGCTTCTTGGAGGGTTCGAAATGCTTTGATTCTGATTAAGAACAGAAAAAAAAAGATTATGCATATAAAATTTTATATTTTAAAGCATTTTATATAGTCCAAAAGGCTGCCTAATTCAAAGCCATGTTTAGAAAACAGGTGAATGTTTAGGTTTATGGTCCACAATCTACATAAAAGACAGAGCATTTCTTTCTTTCATACTCATCCTTCACATCACTAATGGTCTACTGACTTGCTTGTTGAAAGGTCAAGAAACCATGCCATGAAGCAATGAATAATTTTGCAGAACCTATTTATTACTGCTTTGAAAATACATTGCCTTGGCTGTAATATTCAGTATCCACAAACCCCCCTCCCTTTTCCTTTCTTATTCCCCTTAAAGATTACTGACAAGGAAAAACTACAAAATTTACAAAAAGTTGTCTGCAGACACATGATCAAAGCATTGTTTTGAACACCAAGCAAAAATATAAAATTGTTACTAACCAACATTGAAAAACAGAGCTCTGGCCCTTTCTAATCTACAACAGTCAAAGACCCCTAGTATCACAGACAGACTTGTCTGTATTATTATGCACCTAAAAACAATAACTTGCAATATAATAAGTAAACAGATCTTTACTTTGGAGAAAATTGATATATAGGGAACTAGAAAGTTTATTTAATACTAAATCTGTTCAATAAAATGTAGGTAAAATTACAAGCTGTCATTGTTATTGGTTGGTAATTCTTTTTTTAACATGATGCATAGTCTCCACTGGTATTTTCAAATACATGTCAGCGTTTTAATCACATACATTTGGGATATTTGTATTGAATTCACTGTCAGGATTGAAGATATATACTAACAAATTATGATAATGAAATCAAATTCTCACTTAAATGAAAAGCAGAAAAAATAAAAGGCTTTTCTTTGTTGCATATTATAGTAGGAACAAATGCAATAATTATGACTCGCTTCACTGCACAAAGAAAACTTACATTATAGCATCTGAAGTTCTCGGAGAGACTTTTACCCATATGGATCCCACTGTCCAATGGAGGCTTCATGTGCCCCCTGCACATTTCATGCAACCCTTCTCTAAAGGCATAAATAGTACAGCCGCCTGATCACCACTTAATTCCTTCACCAATGCCAATATCCAGAAGAATGTTATACCATACTGGAAGAAACATGGGTGGTGGGATACACACACACAAAGGCATCTCCAAAGATTCCAGCTGCTGAATGGAGCATCTGAAATGTCCCTTTGAACATCTGTCTGCATGGATCCTACTGCAAGTAACTGACTTGTAGTTACCTCTCAAGTTAGACAACTCTAACAGACTGGATATCCTACCTAAAAGTCAGTTCTCTTACAGGTTTTTAAAGACTTTTCCCAATGCATGCCATAGATGTTGAGACTTGGTGGCCTGTGCCTACACCAGAGGAAAAGAAGAAATGTATTCAAAGAGTAAGATCTTATTTTAATCCAAAGCCTGTTTGATAGTCTTTGGGTGATTACCTTTAGATGTAGTGCCAAAAGCTACAGGAAACCTGAGCTTTTCCAAAGGGCTTTGTTTGAGAGACCCAGAGTGACAGGACATCAAGAGCATGAAGAGTCAGAAAAAAATACAGGCAAATATATAAATTAGGCTGAATGAAAATGAACAACTGTTAATAAAAAAAAAATGGCTGTGGTATAAGCATTACTAGCTTCTTGTGGAAAAATATGTAAGGAGACTCTGCCATCAAAGCTTGTTATTTACATACTCTACCCAGCTAACTGCTAGTGACAAACTGCTGTCCTTATAGGAAGACGATAAAGGTTCAAAAGGGTCCATTAAAGACACATTAGCATCTAAAGCAGGGAAGACGTCACTAAGGAAAACAAAGGAACTACTCTTTTAAGCCTTGAAAATGGTTTGACTGAGGAAAAAAGCCTGAATAACCACCAAACTAAAACTGGAACATAAACCAGTTGCCAAATGCAACCTAATAGAGCTGAGTGACAGAGCAGAATTTTTGGATAACAAGTAATCACAAACAGCTGAGAGAGAAAAGTCCTCTAATTGGGTGTGTGTCTGTCCAGTGTTGAAAAACACCTTCACTCAGCCATATGAATCTGTCTCATTTTCCTATGAATCCTTTAAGACATCATTAGAAACCAGCAAGCAGGTCTTGTCAAAGAAAGTCAATTGGCCTACACTAACTGTAGGCACAGGTATAGAGAAATATGAAGATGGTTTCTAAATCCATGATGAGGACATGTTAAAAAATGAGTTAGATTTAAAAAAACCAACAAAATTGATAAGCCCAAGCAGAGCCTATTGATATCACCTGAGTCTTGTCCCGAGAACTCCTAATACGTGGGAGATGCTCAATTGTTGTGAATTCCTGGCAGGTGAAGGACCTGATGAATTGACACATTGATGAATACTCCATTTATACAAGAAAATTGCTTTCTGACACAGAAGGAAAAAGTTTGTACCTCCTGCTCTGTCCTCACTCCTCCTTCCTATTCCTGTAGCATTCTCTCCTCTTTCCCTTTTCTTTCCTCTGTCTCACAATCACTTGTTCTATTTATATTTTCTTCTTTTCTCTCCTCTATTGCCAGCTATGCCATTTTGACTACTGAAATTTCATTCTCTTCCTCCCCAACTCTTGCTTCTTGTGGC